CTAGGAAATATATACTCTGTGATAGACTCTAATCTCAGTTGATGATAAAATACGACACTGAAGACTTTGTTGCACATACATCTACATAGCAATATATATACTTATAAAACATCCAGTGCATTACTGTCTATAGATGTTATTAATTGTTCTTCAGTACACATTTCACTGTGAGATAACTCACTTCACTGGTTTTGCATAAGTTTCATCAAATATTGACAAGACCACGCCATACACATTTACATTGAGATCACATAAACTTACACATATATCCATGTATAGTGTTCCTGTTGCAGTGACAGCATTGTCTGTCAGAAAATCTTTTACATTCACATAACTCAACCTTGTGATAAATATCAAGTATTTTGTGTCTATAATTGTCTAAATGTTCGCTGCACATATAAGGGTGAATATATATATATATTTTTTTTCTTTCTTTCTTTCTCTTTCACTTTCAGACAAGAGTATCCAGCACATAAACTCCCTCGTCACTACTACTGTGGAGGGAACTTAGCCCTGTGTCTGAATTCGAGTCTGTCGAGTCTGTGTCTTTCCCTCCTCCTTCACTGGCTTTGGTGGAGGAAGGGAGTGAGGACGAGGGTAACGACGTGGAGGAAGAGGAGGAGGAGGACTTTGGTGCTGAGGTGCTGGGGGTCTTGCTGCCAAACCCGCTCGTGTTACTACTCGTCGAGGCTTCAGACGAGGTGCTGGACCGCGAGCTCACGCAGAGACTGCTGTTTTTAGCTGAGTCCCCGTCGTCCTCGTCCTCCTCCTCGTCTATGGGCGGAGGACACGCGGGCAAAGGAGGTGGGACGTCCTTGTCCTCTGACGTCGGGTTATTTTTGCTGGTCTTATTATTAAGCTTTGTGGAGGGCGGTGCCACTGCGACAGGCGCGCTGGCACTATTTACAGGAGGGACTCTCGGCGTGGCACTGGCGACTGTGGTCGCGGTGGTGGAGGCTGTGGGAGGGGCTTGCACCTGGGGAAGAGGGGGGTCCGCGGGGAGGCGAAAGGCCGTGGGAGGAAGGTGGATGATGTAGTCCAGGTGTTCTCTCAGAGCCTGCGTCTCTCGGTCGGACTCAGTCTCCTCCTGTAACAACATCTCCAGCTGCTTGCGCTGCTGCCACAGCATCGCCTCGGTTTCCCGCAGTCTCTGCTCGTTTTGCCGCACGTCCGCAACCAGCTGCGCGTGCACGTGCGCGACGCAGACCAGCTCCTGCTGCAGTAGCTCGGCCTCGTCTTTGTGTTGCTCGTGAGCGGCCTGCACGGCGGTGGTCATCCCCGACATGGTCTCCTCCTCGTGCAGCAGGCGGTTGTTCAGGTCTTCGATCCTCGTCAGCTGCGCCGCGATCTGCTGCAACTCTTCCAGCTCTGACGACGTGGCTGCCTCCTCCTCCGGCGTCATGGCCTCCAGCGTCTGCGCCGCCTCCTCCGTCACCACACCCGAGTCGTTGCTCTTCTCCTCGCTCCCGGGCTCGTCCTTGGTCTCGCAGCTGTCGTCCTTGAGGTAGGAATGCAACAGATAATCCCTGCCGAGGTTCTGGACGCGAAGGAGGTGCATCTGCTGCTCGTATTGCTCGATCTGGCACTCCCGCTCCTGCAGGCGCCGCAACTGGGTCTGGATGGTCTCGCCCTGGGCCACCACCAGCCGCATCAGCCGCTCCATCGTCTCGCTGCAAAAGAACCCAAGTTAGAGTCTCACCCAAGGCACTGCGGCGGGCATGCGACGGACAAGATTCATGCCATAACTGCCAGTCGAACAAATGAATCATCTTTTAAAGTTAATTTAGATAAAGAACACACATACGAGAAAGGATGATGGTGGAGTGTGATGGACAAAATAATAGGAGTAAATATCATACACAAATGTTTGTATGTCTGTATGCATCAGTTCTCATAAGCTTAATCATTATTAAAAAAATAAAATAATAAAACAAATAAAAACGTGTGTGTGTGTGTGTGTGTGTGTGTACGTGTGAATGTGCGTGCATGCAATAAATTCAGAACATGAATCCAAACTCAAAGCTGTCTCAACCCGAGCCAACGCATCACACAGCCCTGCCGCCCGCGTGTCTCTCGGCCCGAGCTGCTCACTCAGCGCGGCCTTGAGATAGCGTGACTGGAGGATACAAAGGGGTGGGGGTCAGCAGTACCTCCTGAAGAAGGGCAGCAGAGACATGGTTTTCGGCGGCCCGCACCGAGGGCGGCACACTCCTCCCATGAACTTCATTGTGATTGTCTAAGTGTAGAAAACTAAGTCTAGAATGAGAGGTCTCGCTGCGAGTACTGTGGGCTAAGAAACAGCTTCTAAAACTATTGTAATTGAAATACAATTAACGGTCTAGAGATTCGTAGTTTTTGGTCGAGTCCCGATATATAAGATTTGTATTTCAAATGCTGATTGTCTGGCTGTATTTTTTTTACCTCGAAACTTCCTCGTGTACAAATACCTATAAGATAACTTGCTCTAACAGCCCCTAATGAAGCCTCAGAGGACTTGAATCCCTAATTTCAAAAAAGAAAAACGAAGTCTACGTTCATTGGCTATTCCGGGCAGGCGCACTCCTCATTCGCGGCGTGTGCACGTTCTCCCTTCATTCTCCCCCGATCATCTCGCGGCCGCCTCGTGCAAACTAAAAAGTCGAGAAAGTTCCCTCTCGCCGCGCCGTCGTGGATCGAGACCAGAAGAGTCGGCTTTAGTCCTCTCACTCGATCAGGTTTTTTTTCTCAATCTCGACTCCTCTCCGTTTTTACTCGGTTGGAATCGTAATGCGGTGCGTCGCTCGCTCTATTTTCGCATTTTCCTTCTCCCGATCTACGTCTCCCTCGCTTCTACTCTACGGCCTTCCCTGCCGCTCCCCGTCGACCCCTGCCTCGCCTCGTCGCCCCGTAGCCTTCGCCAGCGGCCCCCCTTCACTACGCTGGACATGTACGATTTCCGCGCGGTCGAGACGCACTTTCTCCCCGTCCGCGCTTCTACCCTCAGGCCCTTCCGCTCATTCACCGTGCCTGCGTATCCCGCGCACAAAAAACGATGGCAAAAACAGGTAAGCGACAAAAGAGACTGGATTGATTATTATTCTCCTTTCTCTCTTCCTATGCGACGTTCTCTCGAATCTTCGAATATTCCTAACGGCAATCACTATATCTCGCTAAATAAAAAAAAGTTCTTTTGGCTTGGACGACGTCGGGCACACTATCGCTCTGGGGATGTCACACTTTCCACTTTTCGTCACTGGCGCTACGTCCCTAAACTTCAGCGTCTGTCCTTGGCACCGAAGGACACTGCATCCTACGAGGCAGCACTGCACTAGCTCGCAGACGTCTTTGCACTATGGGCGTCTGGTTCCGATGGCGTTAGTCTTGAGTCCTGCGACGTCGTAGGTCCGGGCAAGGGTCCAGTGTGTCCTCGCGGTGGCACCTGAATGCGCTGTGGGCAGGGGTGCCACCGCGAGCCCGCCGCTCCTCTCCCTCGTGCCCTTCACTCCTGCGCGGGGATGCCACTGCCGATTCGCCCCGCGCCCTTCACTTAGGCCTAGCGCCGAGCCCCCGGGCCTCTTTGAAGCCAGGCTCAGCTTGGCAAAGGAAAAATACAAAAGCTTCCCACGAGAAAGTCGCCCAAAAAAGAATAAACGCCGTCATAAATGAAAATGAATGAATGAAAGTTGCGCGCCAAAACACTAGGTGGCATCCGCGTTCGCGTGCGGACCCTTCACCTGGAGATGTCCGACCTGTGACTTTTTCGGCCACGTGTCCGCGCAGGAGATGGCGTAACAGGTGCCTGTGCTGGTGATTGTACTCTGGCATTTTTATGCCCTGCCCGCAAGGAGGAAAAAAATCTATATGAATCAATATTTGCCAATGCGCCCTCGCGTCCAGTCCTTGACACCTTTCCTTGTTCTGCTCACGTCCATAAATCACGAAATTCAAAACCGGAAAGCTTTAGTTCATAATAACGTGTGTGCAACGCATAAAACAAACACTTTGTCCACTTAACGGCCTGCATCCAACGCGGCAACGGAGGTGCAAGCTCCTTTCGAACGCACTGAATGGGCGCGAGCGACCCAAGTAACAAACAGCGGCAAGGTCGTCCGTGCCAAGGGTTGCCCAAGAATTCCCAGCCTTCTCGCCGACACAACTTCCTCGACCTTAACTCGGGGTCCCCGAACTGCGGGCTTTTTGTGCCTCCTTTTACCTTGAATAACTTTCGCGCCTCTTCGCTAATTCACTTTATGGCGGGTGGGCGGCGCCGTGCCACGGGCGGCGGTGCCACACGGCGATGCAGTCACGGCGGGCACGCGGTCGGCCACCAAGGCTGTCGGATAGCTCGTCTCGGCGGAATTCCAGGAGGAAAAGTTACGTCACTGGGAACGCGCGAACTTATGCTTAATTCTTGTCCTTTGCAGTAAGGCGATGGCAATATAAGGTTCATTATCAACCGCTCAATTCCTCTACTTCGATGGGGAGTCGTTGCAACAGCAAGGGGCCAAGGGAACTGGCTGGGGGGGGGGGGTGATGCAATTGACCTTAACAGGCAACCCTGACCCTAACTCTCGACTACGATTCCTCGATAAGCGATTTTGAGAAATCCGCTCCACAATCTGAAATAAAAGCTATAAACATCATCAATCGCATCTTAACGCTTCCCGTTTTATCAATCGACAAGCTTCAACTTTACAAGGTTTGATTAACCGATTATAAACTTCATAAATTCCACGCTTTCGTATCCTCTTCCAGCCGTCCTTCAGCTGGCCCGCTCTGCCTCTACGCCCTCTGCAATCATCATTACCCGCTGCTCTAAACAATACTGCTCTAACCGCTTCTAATTCTAGTACTATTCTTCTTATGAATAGCAGAGGTAACAGCACTTGTTGTAATGGTAATGTGGTGGTGGTGGTGGTTGTGGAGGTGGTGGTGGTCGTAGTAGTAGTAGTGGTAGTAGTAGTGGTAGTAGTAGTAGTAGTAGTAGTAGTAGTAGTAGTAGTAGTAGTAGTAGTAGTAGT